GAGGAATTTCAACAAAAAAAATCAAGCTCAAAGACGAAATAATTCCAAAAATAGTCATCAATAATGGTCTGTATCCAGTTCAATTGAGTTCTGGGGATAGCCATGATTCTACACATTCCCTTTCTCGGTTGAAAATGAAGACTGTTGCAAATGTTGCGATTGAAACTTACTACATAATCTGGGTCGATGGCGAGGGGAATGGGGAGCTGAGGGAAGCCAAGATTCTGTTGATGTTCATTAGAGGTGCAACTTCATTTCCTCAAATGGGAAGCCGATAGCCGCTCTAGAATTACTTCATGTTTCAAAGAAGACTGAATGTCTGTTTGAAAGATTTGAGACTTCTGATATTCGGCGCAGTTCGTTGACGGGGTTAGGGGTTAGGGGTGGGGGCATTTTGCACTTTCAATGCTTCACTATTCCGGTTTACAAGTCTCACTCTGGTGAAACCTGTGAACTCTTGTGAAGCTGGAGCAAGCTCGTTCAGCCACCATGGTAAAACCTGTCAACTCTTGTAAGCTCATGAAATTGCTCTCTGCCTGTCTCGACACGTCGATGGAGAGTAGGAAAGAAGGAAAATGCCTCCCCCCACGTCGCCTAACTGCCCCTAGAATTCCTTTCAATGAAGAATGATAAGTGAGTCTTTCGTCATGAATATGGGAGCTTCTTATGGTGTTTATGTGAGCGATAATGCCTTTGATCTAGTTTGAGCACGTCTTCAGTCACTTTGGTTGTATGGTATCCCAGAATTTACCATTAGTAACGATCGTTTCCTTACTTCACTAGACTTTCTGCTCAGGACTCTTCTTCTCAGCACCTCTCTTGTCCTCCTACACGACCTCAATACGCCCGTCTCCCTCCCATCATATTAACTTCATCTCTTTGGAAAAAACACCCTTTAAAGGCATTTTTTATGGATAAGCGTGGACCACAAAAGACTTATACGATGAGTATGACTTTCGTCCTTTCGAAAGTAGAGAATCTTTTAATTCTGAGCGAAGTTTTAATCGAAGTTGGCAATTAGAAGAAAGGTTTTTTCGCTGGAAAATGCCTGATAACTGAAGCGGTAATTTCGTGCATACGATCTGCTTGCTGCGGTAGGAAGGGCATGTCATGCGAAATGGGTTTGGCGCGATGCCAAACCTGTTCCCCACCAGTTGGAATCGGGTGCTCGACAACAGTGGGTAGAAAACAACTGGCACGAACGATATGCTAGAGTCTTCGTCGCTTGCTGGCTTCAACAGCTGGTGGAAAATGGGGTTTGGCGCGGCGCCAAGCCATTTCGCGTGACACACCCTTCATCCGCAGCGAATAAGACTGTACGTGATGTCTCTGATATGACAGGTTAGGGTATCATAGCAAATTTAAAGACACACTCCTCGATAATTTGAGGCTATAAGCTCTTAAATGCGCCAGATGATACGGTAGGCGATTGTAGAGGCAATGCTACGAACTAGCAGCCTCTCTACTTACTCTGACTCTAGCTAACAGTGAATTCGAATTAATTTCCATTTGTTGTTATCATAACCAAATTAGCGCTTTTCTTTTATCACTTCATTCTTACCATTCGGAATGGTGTGCACATACGAGCTGGCAGCGGCAGGCAGGGTACGGCATCGTTGTGTGAAACACATCCAGGGGGGGGTCGTACTTTTTCCGCTGGGGAGAGGGGGTCGTAGGGGCTTTGAGAGAAATTTGCCGTGTTGGGAAAATTTTTTTCCGGTTATTGACTTTTCGCGTGATTTTTCCCTGTTTCATGTGTACTATATACCCCTCCCCCCCCGCTCGACGGAAAATCTTTGGGTGAAAAACTGGAAAATGTGGGAAATTGGTAGGTAGGTGTTGGGAAGGGGGGGGGGTCGTACCGACACTACCATTTCACCTATCATGATGCAGTGCTCTATGTAGGACTCGGCAGGAGTTTTTTTTCTGCTTTTTTCTTCTCTACGTGGTCACTTAGTACCTTGTTGTTCGTATCTGAGCTCCATTATACATATCTGTGGGCTTTGTCTTCAATCTCATGGCACATATTGAATGGTAGGAAGGGGAACCTCATGAATTAGGAGTTGACGCTTAATGAACTTGTACGTGACGGAAACCCCCCCCCCACTTCTCGGTTGTAGCTGCAAAACTGTCGAATCCTCTTCTTTCTTTACGGAAGGCATCTCAACTGCATGCAGAGTCATGAAAACCAAGCATGTTCATGGAAGTCTAAATCGGCGCATTAACTCGTGGTTTGAGGCTTTGTGTACGCGTTTCTTTTTTTCACTGCTTCCCCGTCTTCGATTATAATGGCTTTCCGCTATAGCCCGTGCACTCACTAAGGCGTTTGCTGAAAACATTAGAAGTAGTATGTAAAGAATGTCCTTCACTCCACCTATAGTAAGAAGAGTTTCACTAGTCAATAAGCTCCCTGCCCACTATCCCACTCTCGCCTTATCTCATCGGCTCTTTTTGGGCGCAGCTGAATGAGGCTCTTTTTATGTTCCATCCGCGAAATGCCAGTGATGAAGCGAAGAGTTGTGGCGATGAAATCTGAACGCAGTCCGTGGCGATCGCTGTTTCGCCGCGGCGAAACGCTATTGTTCAGCTAGTTGGAGAGTCTTTTGGAGGTTCAATCGACAATCTTTGGGAGCGAGTGAGGGTCGATGGGCTCATAATCGAGCACATTCTGCGAGCTTGCAGCCACGAGGCTCTTAGATTATATGGGCACTGGATGGCGTTTGAATGACTTTCGGGATCAAATCTTGCTCTGCTCACCTTCCCCTTCATCTTTGCCCTCCTTTATTTGATCCCTTCAACAACGACTTTATCTCAAGAGTGTTGGCGTGGAATATTCGCAAGGGACAGAGTAGAAGTTACTCCTTGGTTACGAGCACAGTTTTGAACTCAAAATTTATCTTATAGAATTGAATACAAAAAATTGTGCAAATATACCTACACATTTTTGCAAAAAGCTGTCTTTTGAGCATTGACTTTGCTAGTCTCTAAGCTGAAGCTGTCGCGCTGTGTTTGGATCATTTTCTTCCAAGCGACCACAAAGAGGCGCCACATGTTTATTCGAAGAATGAAAGAGATTAATAACTAATCGCCTTTCCTGGAATTATTCGTGGGTGCCCAGTACAGTCTCGGCAACACA